ATTTCCCAAGACCACACAGCCAGGAAATGGCAGGATGGTTCTAATCCCCCAGATCTTTTACTGTTAGGAGTCAGTTGGAAGAAACCAAACTTTCAGTGGCAGAGAGTTGATGCTGGTTGAGGCAGGGATACCCTTGGGAGGAGCCTCTTTCTCCACCAGGACCTGTGCCTACTCCATGGGGACACTCACTGTCCACCTGCAGGAGGTTGGACTGCAGGTCTGGATGCAGGCGGCCACGGACCAGGCTTTCACTCAGGTTCTGGTTAAAGGTCAGGACATTCAGCAGAACCTGTGGGCAACCAAAGAGCAGAAGTCAGGGCTTTCCCAGAGATGGGGGTTCAGGTCTCTACAGTCCCTATCTCTGGCCCAGATTCCTTAGTCTTTAGATTCCTTGCACAAGAGGTGTCATCTGGGTTTCTCAACAGCCCCAGAAGACAGGCAGGCCTTTGATGACTTCCCCATTTCACAGAGGGGAAAGCGAGGGCCGGAGAAGAAGAGTGATTCATCCAGAGTTTAGTGAGAGCCAGGGAAGAGGCATCGCTAGCACCTCGTCTCCTTTAATCCAGCCCAGGGCTGGCCTCCTTTCTCCCTGGCCAGGACAAGGTTAATGGTTGGGGAAAGTTTAGGTTATAGTGTGGGTACTTTTAGCTTATTGGTTTGGAGTGTGGGTAGGCTCTGGTACCAACGGTCTGCCCATTCTTACTAAACTGGACATCACTTCTTAACCTCTCTGGGCTGCTGGTTCCTGATATATGACATAGAAATAAGGATTCCTTCCAAAGTTGGGAAGGTTAAAAGAGAACACACGTAACACCATGCCCAGCACTTAGTAAGAACTCTGTATATGTTAGCTATTGTTATCTCCATTTTATAGATGAGGTGACAGGTTCAGAGAGGTTAAGTGAATTCTCCAACATCACACAGTTGGAAATTGGCAGCAGTTAGGCTAGGACTCAGGGGTATCTGATTCCAAGACTCAGGTTAGTGAACTCACCAACTGCCAAATTATGTGCCTGGCACATACATAGGTGCTCAAGACATTTGTGGAATTGTTGTGAGGCATTTTGGAGAGCAGCAGACCCCTCCTTTCAAAACCAGATACTAAAGAGGGCTGCTTCTCTATTTAGATGCTGAGTAGGGCATGATGGAATTTGAGATTGACAGAACTCAGGCAGCCCACATGCTGTATCACTTGTCAATTCTACTGGTTCTGCAGTTTCTCCTGCAACCTGGGAAGACAGGGAGCATCAGGGCTTCATTTCCACTAAGAAACTCAGTACAGCCCATGTCCCTAGTGTCTAGGAGGGGCCTGGCACAAAGCAGTCCCAGCCCATGTTTGCTGTGAGTGAAGAATGAGAACAGGCAAGAGACATGAAGGGCATCTGCAGCCCAAGCCACAGCTTGGCTCCTAGCCACAAAAGGCCTACCATAGAGGAAGCCTCACCTGGGTCAGGCTGCTGAGGCCCCGGGCAGCTCCGTTGGCTCCCAGGGCGAGGTAGGTTCCACAGAGCCCCTCCGCTGGCCGGACCACAGTGGGCAGCAGGAAAGACAGTGGCCGCTTTCCTGGCTGTACCGAATTCTCCTGTTGTCAGAGGACCAAGGCCACAAGGGGGATGAGAGGTGGGGTGAGATAGGGTAAGCACTACTTCACCACTCTTCCAACCTCTCTTGCTCTCCTACATCATCAACAGGCCTAGTTTTCCTTGGAGACTGGTCTCTCCCCAGGCCACAGTTTGCTACATGTGAAATGGGCAGGGTCCTTGGATAACTGAGGTAGAGAGTGAACCCACTAAGTTTTGGGGCTACCAAACTTAGGTGGCAGGGGAGGGGCCAAGCCAAGAAAGATGGCTATGGGGAAGAACAGGATAATCTTTACCCTGGTCATCTCTGTCTTTGTTCTGCTAGGGCCCCAGCCTACAGGGTATAAGAGTGCTGGCCTCCAACTACACAGTAATTCCTATTTCCTTCCTCCTTTGGTGCCCAACAATAGGGCTGAACCCCATCAGCTCAGCATCACATAATCACAGACTATTAGTACTAAAAAGTACCTAATGCATAGAATCAGGGGCCAATATCCTCATTGTACAGGTGAAGAAACTGAGGCCCAGAGTGGGGATAAGACTTTCCCCAGGTCACATAATGAGACAGTGATAGAATGGGAAAAGGTTTCTTCAGACCCATCAGGTTCTAAGCCCCAGACTTGGGCTGGGGATGAAGTGGACACCTTGTCTGGGTTCCTTTTCTTTATCATAGAAGTTCCTAAAGGAAGTAGGGAGGAAGGGGCAGCTATACTATAGCACATCCTCTCTAGCCTTGGGGTCCCCAAAGTAGGAAGGGAAGCAAGACCCTACCAGGCTGGGCGCAGAGTGGTTAGCAGTCCTGTTGGGCCAGGAGAAGTCCAGCATTTGACTGTTGAGCAGGATCCCCGAGGGGGTAATGAGGCCACTGCCAAAGGGCCGGTTCAGGGAGCTGGGGGCCGAGATTGGGGCCAGGTGAACCCTGAGCCCTCTCTCACTCCCACCCAGCCACCGTGTCCTTCCTGGTCTAGATGATCTCTTTGCTAGGTTCTGAGTCTGAGCTGGCATACCTGACCATGGCCACAATGAAGTCATCAGGGCCCATGATCAGCACCTGGGCTGCCGTGGGAGCCCCATCCAGCTCGTAAACAGGCAGGAGTGGGGCAGGGGCCGCCTGGGAGTCATTGATGTGGCCCCGGAGGTAGGCAGCCTCTACCTTGCTGGAAAGACATGGTAGAAGATGAACACACAGCAAACTGTCATTACATTCCACCTACCACTCTTTGTGATGTTTGTTTGTGCAATTAATTTGATTATTATCTGCCTTCCCCATTTGGCTCTTAGGTCCATGAGAACAGGTTACTTATTTCTAGCATATAGGGAATATTCAGGAAATAGTTGTTGAACTGAATGAATTTATTTAGGTATTATTCAGATTATCTTCTAGAGCCAATGTTTAATTTATTCAGTGCTTAAATCAAGAGTCTTTTAGCTGCTTGACTTTATTCATTTAATCCTTTCTATGAAAATACCTGAGGCATAGATGCTCAAAAAATATTTATTTTGACATGAACAAACTGAATTCACTTAAGCTAATGTTTGTAGTCTAGAAATTAAGTTTCATTAAGAGGGGTGTGTGTGTGTGTGTGTGTGTGTGTGTGTGTGTGCGTGCGTGTGTGGTGGAAGGTTTGCATACAGGAATCTTTACTTACTATTAGAATTCTTTTTTGAAGACAGAAAGACTTGGCACATAGGGGCTTACTATTTATTGGATGAATTAGGTGAATAGATTTAATATAGGCATGTGTGTGTGTTTTAGAGCTAAATTTGTATTGATCTTAAAAACAAATTTATGAAATTATGAAAATACAAATTTACATTAACTATATTTTTGTTTCTGATTTTCCCTTAGCTAGCCTTTAAGTCAGTTATAATGGCCATTAAATAGTAACCATTCTTACCCCTATTGCCAATTAATAAAAATGATAATGTTTGTTAAATATTTATTATGTCAGACAACATGTTAAATGCTTTGCATGTATGACCTTGCTTGGTTCTCACAACGACCTCATGAGTTTGGTGCCATTATTGTCAGGCCCTTTTGTAGAAACAGATTTAGAGAGTTTAAGGCTGCACAGCTAGTGGATGAAGAATCTGGTATTTGAACCGAGTCACTCTGACAAGAGCCCACAGTATTATTGCTATGTTATGCTCCTAATATAGACACATTTTAATCAAAATCCCTACCATCGCCAATGTTTTCTTGGAGACTCTTTTCATTGTTATTAGGCTCTTTTTCCACTCAAAAGGTGGAACAGATGGGTCCATATATGTGCCTTGCTAGGGAAAAAATTTGAGAGCCATATGAAGTAGAGCAACTCATTGTACAGATGGGAACACTGAGGTGCAAGGAGAGGCAACCAGTGTCACACTGTGAGTGGGGGTTGAGCTGAAATTGACTTGGGACTTCAGGTCTATTGCACTACTGGCTGCTTTTCTTTCACTTGATCCTTTCCCCACACCTGCCACCACCTCCCCAGTCCCCAGGGTTTTGCCACAGGACCTACCTTAGCATGTCATCCATGCTCTCAGTGATGGTAGAATCATAAAGGGGATCTCCCAGTCTGCTGGCCAGGGCTAGTGCAATCTTCAGGGTCTGAAAACAGAGCAGAGGTGTGACAGAGGCTGCCAGGCTCCTCCCAGCACCCACACCCAGAATCCTCATGTGTAAGAAAACTTGGAGGGGATTTAGTCCTGCCCCATGGCAGTACTCCATGCCCCCAATCTCAGTGTCCCCCATCACAGGCTGGCCTTACCTCTGCTACCCAGTGAAGAGCCTGTTCCCGGGATACCAGGCTGGTGAGATTGAAGCCCTCAAGGATATTGAGAGCACTGATGAGGGCAGGGCCTGTGTGTGGGGGTGGGGGACTGAGAACCAGGTGGCCTGAAAAGACAGGAAATAACCAGATGGCAGGGGAGGAGTCAAGGCATCTCCACATCCCACCATCACACAGACTGAGACCACTGTACTAAACTCCTTCATCAGATAGGGGAAAAGCAGTAATAGGCAAAGGGACGCACCCAAGTTTGCATGGTGAGTCAAGGATAGGACCAGGACTCTAACCCACAACACTAGTTTTCAGTTTTCTCTTCCATATGAGGAAACTAAAGCTGAAGAGGAGTGTTATTTGCCCAGAGTTACAATACAGGCCATTGGCACAGCAGGAACAGGTGTCCAGGTGTTCAGATTCCTGGTCCACCATGTATCGCCTTTCAGCTCCTCCCATAAGATAGGATACTATTCAGGGCCCCTGATGGTCCCACCCCTGACATTTCTTGGGAGCAGCAACCTCCTCTTCCTATGTAAGGCCCCAATTATTAGATGTTTTGACATCAAAGGAATAAAAATACCTGACATAAAATAAACCATAACTAACTCAATTAATCCTCACAATAGTTACTGTTATCACTCCCATTTTACAGATGAGAAAACTGAGGCCCAGAGAGACAGCTGGTCCAAGGTTACAGGATACAAGTGGAACCCAGAGTACTCAAGGTACTGGCATTGCCAAGAGAATACAGGCTGGGAAAGGGAAATGGAAATCAAATACATATTCAGTGTCCATTCTGATCAGGGCAACTCCCAGCATCATCTCATCAAATCTTCATGGTAAGCACTATTATCTCCATTTTAAAGAAGGAACCAAGGCTCAAAGGGAGAAGTGAATGGCATTGCTGGTACTCAAACCCAGGTCTTCCTGGCTCCCTAGCTATGCTCTTCCTCTGCTCCATATGCTACTGCCTCTGGTACAGGAATCAGGCCAGAGTTTGAGACCTGGAAACCTGAACTCAGAGGCAGCCTGTTCTGGGGCTTGAAGTGATTTGGGCCTCTCAGAGGAAAGAGAACCTGTGAACCTCCTTAGGGACCTAGGAACCTACCACTTTGGGTTCAACAAACATGGACTTCACCCATGTCATAAACTTGGTTTTCTGGATTCATCATTGGTTTTGAATTTGACAGGTTACATTCTATTCAATCCCTGGGCCCTCAGTTTCCTTGTGACACAATTCGAAGGCAGATCTATGACAATCTTGAAAAGTTTGTTATAACCAAAAGCATAGATGGACTTTAATTTTATGAGTTCTTCTTATGAAGTATAGGGCACTGAAAGTGGGACTGGGAATGGGGCAAGGCAACACAGAGCCCAAGTCAAGAAAACCTATGGCCAGAACTTCAACTTCTAGGTCTGAATCTTTGACTAGACCGCCCTCCCTATATACTAAATACTTGGGGTAATTGACTCCATGACTACTTCAGAAAGGAGGCTGGCTCTGGCTTGCTTCATTAGTTAGCTGTCCAAGCAGCTCACTGCCTTAGTTCCTTTCCTGTGAAATGGGGAGGAGTCTATAGGCCAAAAACATATAGCCATGGACTGGAAGGTTTCTCTTGAGTGGGAACCCTGGGAGCTGGGGGAGAGGTCACCTCTGTAGACGCCACACACAGGCTTTTCCACGAGGGCGCTGTAGTTGCTGAAGTCCTCCTCAGTTATAACACCCCCTGCGTGCTGAGCCTGGAAGGGAGAGAATGGTCCCACCACCACTGTGAGCCACACACCACATAGTAAGCATGTGGATTTGGCCTATGGTATATGTTTGGAGCACAGATAGATCAGATGTTTATACATTTTGTGCCTTCTGCAATTCCCATCCTGACCTTTAGGGACCCCATCAGTCCTGGGTACTCCAGAAAAAAGGAAAGGGAAAAAGCACTAACATTGAGCTACCAACATTGACCTACTACATACAAAATTTGTGTTGGGTACATTCTATGAATGACCTTCTTAGTTCAGTATTCAAGGCTCTTTGTGATCTGGCCCCTGCCTACATCTCCACCTTATGTCCTGCTATTCCCCAGGGAGCTCTGTACAACTGCAGTGACTTTCAGTTCCTGAACTCATGGTTCTATGTCTTTGCACATATAGACCTGCCTATGGAAAAGGAATATTTTCCACTTACAGCAGCACTTGCCTAAGAAATATCAAAACTGAATTCTGCATTTCACTACAACCAACTAAAGCCACTTCAAAACCATGGGTGACCTGGTAGGAATGATGTAATTGAGCACTCTACTAACCAATCAACCAATCTTGTACAAACCAATGAGCTCATTTCAAACTATCCAGAATGCTAATTTTCAACCCTCACTTAGCATAACACTAGGAATGCTCATCTTTTTTAGTACTTGAAACCTCTGACTTCTAATCCACTCAGTGAACTCAGCTCACTGAAATTCAGTACATTGAATTCCTTGGCTGGTGTTTGTTCCTTTGTCTGACAAGTAAATAAACTCAACTTTGGGTTTTTTTCTTTTAAAGCTCTGATTGTCTTTGTTAGTCTCCTTCATTCCCTTCTCTACCTCCAGGAGAGAATACAAGACCCAGGTCTGGCTAATCAGAGCATTTCTTTTCATGGCACGGTGGTTACTTTGAGAATAGTCATGAGACCTATGACAGGCCAGTGAGACATAACTTTAAAGCTTTTGCTGGAACTACTGGAATGAGACATGCTCTTTTTCTAGGATGGCTTGCTGGAAGGATGGCTGATGGGGAGCAGGTGTGGAAAGCATCTGACCGAGAGTGAATTCAAACAGAGGAAAGTAGACTCATGAGACAGAAAGAGAAACAGAGCAAGTCCTGACAACGTGGATGGAACACCTGGATCCAGCTGACCTAAAACCAGTACTCTGCTGGACTTTCCAGTTAAGTCCATTTGACACGGGCTTCTATCACCACATCCATATCTCCAGTGCCCAACACAGGGCCTGGCATAGTATGGACACTTTGAAAATGTAGAATGAATGACGAACCTATTCAATTCCACAACTCTACAGCAGAAATAGATATAATCATTCCACTGCATAGATGAGAGAACTACTGAGGTGGTCTATACATCCTTATCTTGAAAATAATTTCCCATCAAGAATTTTCAACTATTGACAACAGTTTTAGAAAACATTACTGCCTCAGACTAAGACTCTTTGGTGTTGGTTGGTAAGCCCTATGTTAATCCTCCCAGTCCCAGTGAAGGAGGCACTTCCCTCAGTCCCTAGAAAACCCAAGGGCAGGGTGGGGTTGTGGGCTCAGGGAAGCTGAGGCTGATCCTGGGTCTCCACCAAACCTGGGAGGGACAGGACAGGCCCCTGTACAGGTTGGCACCAGCCCTGGGGAACCCAAAGTTACCTCTCTCAATTACAGACAGAACATTTCTATCACCTCAGCAGGTTCTTCCTGCCGCATCCCAATCAAGCTCTCCCATTCCAACAACCACTGATCTGATTCCTACCACCAGAGGTTAGTTCTGCCTATTCTAGAATTTCAAGTAAATAGAATCCTAGTAAATACAGGGTTGGGCAAAAGCAGGTTTACAGTTGTTCATATGGAAAATAATATAATGAAAATAACAATGAAGTATCACCTCACATCTGTCAGAATGGCCGCCATCAATAAATCATCAAACAACAAGTGTTGGTGAGGGTGTGGAGAAAAGGAGACTCTAGTACACTGCTGGTGGGAATGCAGACTGGTGCAGGCACTATGGAAAACACTATGGTGTTAACTCAAAATATTAAAAATTCAATTGCCATTTGATCTAGTGATCCCACTTCGAGGAATATACCCTAAGAAGCCTGAAACACCAATCAGAAAGAATATATGTATCCCCATTTTTATAGCAGCACTATTTACAATAGCTAAGATCTGGAAACAGCTCAAATGTCCATCAGTAGACGAATGGATAAAAAAGTTGTGGTACATATACACAATGGAGTACTATGCAGCTGTAAGAAAGAAAGATCTCTTAACCTTTGAAACAACATGGAGGGACCTGGAAAGTATTATCCTCAGCGAAACAAGCCAAGCAGAGAAAGACAAATATCACATGATCTCACTTATTTGTGGAATATAATGAACATAACAGTCTGAGGAATTGGGTAGATCCAGAGACATGGAAGTAGGGTATAGACTGACAACCCTCAGAAGAGGAGGTGGTAGGGGGAGGGAAGAGATAAACCACAGAACTTATATGCATGTATACATAACTGATGGGCACAGACAACAAAGCCAGGTATGGGGTAGGGAGGATGGGGAGGAGGGTGTCTGGGGAAAAAAAGGAGAAACATCTGTAACAAAAATAAATTAATAAAAACTTTTTTAAGAAAGAAAATAATATAATGATTAATAAATAATAATACAAAAATAAACTCTGTGTTTTACATACTCACAACTGTAAGCCTACTTTTGCCCCACCCTGTATATGTAGAGAGAAAGGGAAGAAAGGAAGGGGGGAAAAATGTCCCTGTAGTAGTGTCCTTTGGGGCAGAGGGGCTCTCCACATGCTCACCTCGGCCACCATCTCCAGTGTGAGGTTACCACCAGCATAGAAGGCAGCAGGGCCATAGGTGCCGAGCACATCCAGTACCGTGGCCAGGTCAGGCCGATGCATTAGCGAGCCAGGTAGTGGTGGGCGGCCCGATGGCAGGAACATCTCATGAAAGCGCTCAGATGCATCAGGTGGTAGCTGTTCTGCCAGGGCGTGTGCTATAGGCAGGGACAGGAGGCTGGGCAGGGAATGCCAGGGCTGGACCCAATGGCTGAGATGCATAGTAGGTGGGGTGGTTGAGGGCTGAGTGACTGGCCCTAAGAGCTCCAGCCCCCCAGAAGCCTGATATTGAGGATGTGAGGATGTATATGGGCTTCTACAGATACCATTTGAGTCTGCCTCCTAATGAGGGTGGGGGGGTGTAAGGGGCAAATGTAAAGAGAGGTGCTTTCTGGTTTGGGCCCCAAATCTTAGAGGTTCCATCTCCCCTCTCCATCAACTTCATGCCTTTCCTCCCACCCCGAGGCCCCACTGACCTAGATCATGGGTCACATTGAAGCCATCTTGGGCCACAGCTGCCGCGAAGGCCAGGACTTGGTACCATGGCAGCCTGGGGGAACGCAGAGAGCAGGGGGTAGAGGAGGTCCTGGGGGAGGAGGACGGGTCTTGGGGGGAGGGAGGTTCCTGGGAAGGAGAGTCCTGGCAAGGGGAGGGGATATGAAGAGGGGGAGTTCGGTAGGGAAGAATCCAGGAAAGTAGGAGGCCACCAAAGGAGTGGTACAGGTAGGGGCCCTGGTCCCCAGGGGGAGGGTCTTTACCTGCCATAGAGCTGGTGAGCTTCATGTAGCCCCTTCAACATTCCGGGAACCCCCACCAAGAGCCCAGGCTGGGCGAGGCGGGCAGGCGAGGGAGAGAGGAGACCAGGTCACTGGAAGGGGGGGGGCTGGGCTGAACTCCGCAGAGCCCCAAGCCAGGGATGGGGGGGCTGGCACAGGGGAGAGACACAGGCCAAGTATCCCAGAGGAGGGACAAGCTGTCCCAGCAGGCATCCTCCCTCCCATCTCCCTGACTTCCTATCAGCAAACGCAGAAAAGCCTCCTTTATCTATCATAGTTGAGGGACTTATAAATTAAGCAAACTTTTTTAAGAGCCAGAACATAACCAATTTAGATGGAAAACTGTCTATATTGTATTATACCTATTTCTGCTTTTTAAAATAGTGGATAAGAGACCTTCATTTTACCTTTTTATTATTACACCACCAATACCATGAGCTGTGATAACGCAGGAGTGTGTTTGGCTTTCACCTCTCACTAAATGTCTATTTTTCTAAGTTATTCTATTTCTGCCTTTGCTCTCAGTGGAGAGTGGGTTTTCCTCTAGCAGTTCTTCTCTAATCTTCCAATATGCCGTGGGCTGGGAAAGTTACAGTCAATAGAATCAGAGTGGGATGTGTGAGTGATAGTTCAGCAACTTTGACATCTCAGGCTGCTCTGTGGCCTTTATTCTTCCTTCTATGTGCCAGATAGGTAAGGTCACCAGAGAAGTTAAGATGTTGCTGTATTGCCTGATATCCATCATCCAGATTTTTTTGTTCATTATTTTATTTGGAGGGTTGCCTGTCTCTCTCATAGCCTAATAGCATCCTACTCAACTCATTTCCTCACCTCCATAGCAAATACTCAGCAAAGTAATGCTTGGGTTAGCAGAAGGGCAGTGAAGGGAGACCCCTCCCCCTCGGATACTCTCTTCTCACCAGGGTCCCCACCTTGGTCTCCCAGGATCTCTGCAGGGCCTCTTCCCTGAGAGCCCCTGGTGCAGACTCCCGGAAATCAATTAGGTGGCTCTTGTTTCGTCGGATGTCATGTACCAGCATCACACCCCCACTGGAAGAGAAACAGAAGGGGGAGGATGATGAAAAGATGCCACCCTTCTGAACAGTTAACCTGCCACCCCTCAGCTTCCAATGTTGATGGCTGTAGGTTTGGTCTATTACCAGGAGTCAAGTGTTCGAGCTCCCTCCCCAACAGGGATTCAGAGACTCAGCCACACTACAAGGGTGGGGAGTGAAATCGAGGCAGGGATCCAGAGTTGATGGACCTTTTCCAACCTGTCACCAGAGACTTTAATCCCTGATTAGGAAAAACTGAGAGACTGAGAGAGCAGGATGTTCTGCCTCACCCCCTACTTCAGACCACAGCTGGACCCCTGCCAGCTTCCTGCACCTGCCTCCTTGGTATGCCTCCACTCCCTCTCCCAGGACTAAATTATGTAAGAACAGACTGTGCAAAACCAAAAGGGGAATTTCTTTGGTAGGGCCTGGAGAACTGGTCTTACAGGAACCAAGACATGGACTTTGTCAGCTTGTCCCTTTTCTGTGACTTGTTTCCATCTGAGATGGTGGCTGCATCTGAGATGGCTGGCCTGCAGCCAACATAAAGAATATAGAGTGGTAGGAACTGTGACAAAGTCAACAAGCATGGAATGGGAAGCAGCTTCTACTCAGGTCCAGATAATTTAATTGCAGTGATATGGAACTATGGGCTGAGTGTTACCAGGTCTCTCTAGGTTCAACAGATGTTGGAAATTTTCAACTTTTTAACAATAAGAAACAATTTAAAAAAAAAAAATCCTCACCTGAGGATATTTTTCTTTTGCTTTTATAGAGTGGAAGGGAGGTAGGGAGGGAGACAGAGAGAAACATTGATGTAACAGAGACACATCGATTGATTGCCTCTTGCACAACCCAGACCAGGGCTGGAGATCAAACCTGCAACCCAGATATGTGCCCTTGACCTACCCTTGACTGGAAATCGAACCTGCGATCCTTCGGTCTGCACAGGTTGACACTCTAACCACTGAGCAAAACCGTCCAAGACCCACATATTTAAAAATTTAAGTCTGCAAACCAACCAGTCTGTGTTCTGGGTGTGGCCCATGGGTGACCAGCTTGTCACCTGTTTTAAGAATCCTTATCCTGGTCAGGCTGGTGTAGTTCAGTGGTTGAGCGTCGACCCATGCACCAAGAGGTTGCTGGTTCAATTCCCGGTCAGGGCTCATGCCCAGGTTGTGGGCCTGAGGGCATGCAGGAGGCAGACAATCAATGTTCTCTCTCATAGATGTTTCTATCCCTCTCCCTTTCCTTTCCTCTCTCTCTAAAAGTCAATAAAGAAAAAAAAATTAAAAAGAAAAAAGAAGATGTCTTATCCTTGCCCTGGCCCATTGGTCCTTGGACCAAAGAGTCCCAGGTTCAATTCTGGTCAAGGGCACAGACCTCAGTTGCAGTTTGGTCCCCAGCCCTGGTTGGGGTCCTGCGGGAGGCAACCAGTCAATGTGTCCCTCTCACATCGATGTTTCTCTCTCTCTCTCTCCCTCCCACTCTATATGATGATAAATGGAAAAATATCCTCGGATGAATTTAAAAAGAAAACAAAGAATTCTTAGCCTGAGTGTATTTTTGGAGGATGGATGGTCCATAGCTTTCATCAGACTCACAGGGAATTGTGAACCTAAAAGCTTAAGTATTGCTGCCTTAATTAATAACAGTATACCCCTACCTGTGTATCTCACTTTACAATTTACAAAATCCTTAAAAAAACACACACACAAGATCCGAAAACACCTCCTCTTACTCCATGTAAGACAAAAGGGATGAAATTGGGTGTAGAGAGAGCAAATGCAAAGAGTTGGGGTCCACCTGTCCCTCTGCTCAAACTTGGAGACCCCCACATGAGGTCTACAGACCAGGACATAGAATTAGGCCTGGGGGACCCCAACTTCTACAACAGGGAGCTCCTTACCCGCCCAGGCCAGAACTGTGCGGAGCCACGATTCCCAAACACAGGGCTGCTGCCACAGCTGCATCCACAGACGATCCCTGTTTACTGAGCACCTCAATGCCAAGTGATGTGCAACGGGCAGCATCGGTCACCACGGCACCCTGGTGGAAGATCTAGGAGGCGAAAGGGGACTAGTAGGGGAGAGTAGGATCTCCCTACTTCCCTAGGGTACCTCCAATAACCCCAGAACCTCTACGAGGGAGGGGGGTGCTGGCAGGAGCCCTGTCCTCTTTATTCTTCCCTATTTACCTTCTTTGCCCTCATTACCTCAAGTGTCTCCTACATGATCAGGTCCCTTCCTTGCTCTGTCCCCCTCATGCCCCACAGCCCCTCCCTTTGGGAGCTTCCTCTCCCATGTCACCACTCTCCCCCCCTTTCCAATTCCTGGCCCACTTCCACCACTCTCCCAGTCCCTAAATCCCACGGTCTCCTCAAGCGATTTCTCACCTGAGGGTCCCCGAAATAGATCTGCATGATGAGCGCCACAGTGACACCCGTGGCAAAGGTGAGGCAGGCTGTGACTATGACCGTGAGCCCGTCCTGACGGCAGGAACACTCCGCCGCGGCTGCGGAGAACGGGTCTTTGCGCGTCTCCCGTAAAGGCGACCCGTCCTGGCTTCCCATCTCTGATGATGACGATGGCAGCCGCTGTAGGCGTGCTGACTTTAGGAAGGAGTCCGGGTCTGCGGGTGGTCGGGGGTCAGTCTGGAGGCTTCTTAACCCTCCCTGCCCGCCTTCCAGACGGGTCTATGCCCTGTCCCCCTTCTTGGCACTCCCCACTAGATAGCACTGCCGTTCATTGTCTCCCCTGTGCATTCTAGGGCCGGTGGGAGTGGCTGTCTGGGCTGGGAAGAGACAAGGACCACCAGCTAGGCAGCTGGGCAGCTGTATTACTGCCCCTGGGCCAAATTTCCTGGGGCCCAGGACTCAGGGCTGAGAACACTTCCTGGAGAGGCGTGAGTTGGACCCTCCCTGGAAACCAGATACTCCCTGAGCTGGGCCAAGCCTTCTATGCAAGGAGGCAGCTACCTAAACTGAGTGGACAGACCCTGTCTTCCAACCTTGCTTCATTCATTCATTCATTCATTCATTCATTCATTCATTCAACAAATATGGACGGTTTGCTATGTTTTTGATCCTATGCTAGATGCTAGGGGAATGGTACAGACAATTCCTGCCCTCAGCGGTTCACAGACCAGTGGAGGAAAAAGACCATAAACAACTAAACAGAGGAGTATACAATTACAAGTTGTGGCAGGTGCTATAAATAAAAATGATGAAAAACAATAGTGGTGTGTGTTGGGGGCTGCTTAGCTGCGGAAATCAGCCACGGCCTCTCAGCAAAAGTGACTTTTAGGCTGAGAACTAAGGGATGAAGAGCCACCCATATGTAGAGCAAGTGGTGAGTAAACAGTGTTCCAGAATAGTAGGTGCAAAGGCCCTAAGGTAGGAATGAAATGGCACATTAGAAAAAAATAACCAAGACCTGGGTGGTTCCAGCGTAGTGAGCCAGTGGGGTGGAAGCTAGGACAGATCACTGGGCCTTCTTGGCCTAGTGAGAAGCTTGGATTTTATCCTAAGAGCCATGGGAGGCCACTGAAGAGTTTTAAGTGAGAATGTGAAGCCATCTGTTTTATGTTTTAAAAAGATCCCTCTGGCCCTGGCTGGTGTGGCTTAGTTGGTTGAGTGTCACCCTGTACACCTAGAGGTTGCCAGTTTGAGTCCATCAAGGGCACATGCCCAGGTTGCAGGCTTGATCCCCAGTAGGAGGTGTGCAGGAGGCAGCTGATCCATTGATCCATGTTTCTCTCTCTCTCTCTCTCTCAAATCAATATAAATACATTAAAAAAAATAAAAGATCCTTCTGGCTGCTACCTGGAGGATGGATCTAAGGATGAAGGAATGGAGGCAGAGAGACCTGAAAGCCATTTACTCGCTGAATGACTATGGATAAGTCACTTCAAGTTATGAACCTCACTTTCCTCATTCTATTAATGGAACAAATTTCTAACTGGCTGGGTAGATACGAGGATTCCATGAAGCCATGTATACCGGGCACCACATAGGTGCTCATTCAAAGTCATTTCCATTTTTTTTCAATCTTGGGCAAGGCTGAGAGAAACCATCTTCTCAGCCATAGTTCCCTCTTCTGGGTGCTATTAACCTTGAACTCAGGCTTTTAAATGTCCTGGGTGTTTGTGAACAGTAAAGAAATAACTTGGTACCTTGACCTTAATATCTTGCTGTACTCACAATGTGTTTTTTGTTGTTTTTTTTCTTTTGTGGTACGTGCCCCTAGCAGGAACCGAACCCAGGACTCTCTGGTCCACAAGCCAACACTCAACCGCTGAGCCAAACTGGCCAGGGCCTCACAATGTGTTTTTAAAAGTTCATCCATTTAATAAATATTTTTTGAGCACCTGCTACTGTATATTAGGAGTATAACCTCTTTAAAAGTCTGTGGGATAATATTAAAAATTGACTGTTATATTTTCCTATTTAAAATTGGTTCACCAATGCCAACATGATAAAAATCTAAGCTCCTTGACCTGGTGGTCAAGGCCCTTTGTAATCCACACTCTCTTCTGTTATGTAAATAAAAAACCACATACATATATAGGTAATTTTTAGAAATTATTTATGGTGGTTACTTTTGGGAAAAGATCCTGAAGGTGGGAATGAGATGGGGTGGGAGAATATTTTGTTTGAAACTTTATATATATATATATATATATATATATCTTTTTGTTGTTGTTGTTCAGATAGAGTGGGAGGGAGAGAGAGGAAGAGAGAGAGAGAGAAACATTGATGTGAAAGGGACACATCGAGTGGCTGCCACCTGCACCACCCAACCAGGGCCGGGGACGAACTGCAACCGAGGTACATGGAACCGAACCTGGGTCTCTTGGGACTACAGGCTGATGCTCTAACTGCTGAGCCAAACTGGCCATGGCTATATATCTTTTTAAATAAAAATGAATACAGGTATTTTTAAATAAAAAGGAAAAATTATGGGGAGAGAGCAATGGAGAAGGGAACTTACTTTTCCTCACTAATATGTGTTATTCATTTGTTTATTTATGTTTACCATGAACATGTAATTTGTTTTTAAATTTTTATTTAAAAAAGAACATTGTCTTCTGGAAGCCTCTTTCTACTGAGCATGCTTGCAGATGCTCAGCACCAGCACCACAGAGTCTGTAAATAAAACTGGAATTCATTGGACAAACAGATGTTAAACACCTACTCTGGGCACAGAACAGTCTTTGGCCCCTAGAGGTTTCAAAAGAACTGCAGGGAAGGGTTTGGAACTTATATTTATTGATACTGACTATATTATCAGGCACTTTACATATATTTCCTCATTAAAGTATTTCCATAACTTTATAACATAGGCCCACTCTCTCCATTTTAAAGATGAAGAAACTGGGGCTAAGAAAGGTGATACAACCTGCTTAAGCTTATAAATAAATAAATAACAGAACCAAGAGTCTGTGTAACTCAAAAACCTCCTCTCCATTGTTCTACATGTCATCAGGAGCCATTTCCCCCTCAAGAAAACCAACCTTATAAGTAGTTCTAGTTGATATTTCCAGTATTTGTCCTTAAATCTGTTTTTTTTCCAATCAGATATGCAAAGCCAGTAGATGAAGGTGATATCAGAGATGGATCTACTCAAGACTTTTTGTTTCACCAATTCTTAAGTTATTCATTTATTCAACAAAAATATTTACTAAATACCCTACCATGTAAGTACTGAGGCAATAATACCATTAATTTTACTGGTATGTAAGAGCAACAGCAGGACACTGAGAAAAGGTTAGTTTGGGACCAGAATAAACAAGCCTTTTGGGAGAAAGATGACTTTAATTTTAGCTATTCTGAATTTGTGAAATTCCAGCAGGAGTTGTCTGGAGGCAGCTGACATAGTAGGCATCTAATTTTTTTATCTGCTTATACACCATTCTGCATTCCATTTTCTTTTAAAAAATACTATTTTCTCATGCCTCATTCCTTCATTCCTAACTAGACTAAGTATATGACCTAGCCCTAGCCAATCTGAACAGGTACCTCTGTACAGTGATTGGTTCATGAACAAGCATATGACCAGTGCCAAGCCAATTAGATTCAAACTTTGTTCTTTTGCTGGAACTATTGAGAAAGAAAAAAGCTGTCTTTCTATCTAGGCTACTAAAGTAATTAGATGTAAGTCTGTTGTTGCTGGGGACAACTTGCCCCCACAAGATGGGAGGCTACCTGAAGATAAAGCCCATAAAAAGGAAAGCAAAGTGAAAGATGAGGTAAAGCCCATTCCTTTTTAGGCACCTTGATGCAGCTATGCTTGAAGCCTCATACCCCTGAACTTTTCAGTTATGCTACCCAGTAAAATTCTCTTTTTAGATACAGCTCGTTTTTTACTGAATTTATGAAAAAAGAACCATGAATAGAGTCTACTTGGCAAGTCTAGAGCTCAGGAGAGAGATCTTGGCTGGAGACTGAGGTCCTCTCTGGCTTGCATACTTCCTGAAGGGGAGAATCATTAAAGATTGTTAAACCAGGGAGTGACATGATCAGAAGTGCAGGATGGTAGATGGATTGGGATTCGGTGGGAGTGGGGGAGAGGCAGGAGGCAGGAAGAATAGCTAGAAGCCTATGGTAATACAAATAAGAAACAATGGGAGCTTAGTCTACAGTGATGATGACAGGGATAGTGCAGTGGAATTTGAAAGATACTTAGGAGGGGGTCAGAGACCTCTGATCACCATTTGGAAGTGAGAGGAAGGGGAAGGATGATGAGTAGCTCCTGGGCTTCTATGGTGGGGACTGGATGAAAGGCAGTATCATTAATTGATGATGATATTGGGAGAAGAGCAGGTGTATGGGGAAGAGATAATGAGTTCAGCAATAGAACATGCTGGAGGTGAGGTAATTGCAGGACATCTAGAGGCAAATGCCTGGGAGAGAGAGGAACACATGGGCCTGGAGTTCAGAAGAGAGGAAAGACAGTGTTACTCTAAAGTTGGAGTGGTCATCACCTGGCTCTGTTTTCCACAGGGTCTGCTGTGGGGTGTCTGGCACTTGGTTCTATAGTGTGGCAGGTTAGAGGCTAGCTGGGCACAATCATGGTTCTGGATAAAAGGATGGGACAGTGCCACTAGGTGGCACTACCAGGTTGAGAACACAGGAAGCCATGTTAGCCAGCAGGCTGGTCCAGCTGGGTCAAAGGAGGCTTGGAGCTTGGAAGCAGTGCTGGGAGACATGGTATTGAAAAGATGATGGCAAGGTCCTTGGAGACTCAGTACACAACCTTAGCATAATAAGGTGCAGATTCCCAGAAACTCAGGTGACTGGGGTCTCAGCTGGATTTTTGTACAAATTAGGGCAGCGTCTGTATTAACTCACCACGGTACTCCCTGAGTTTTAAGAACTCCCTCTGCTGCCATTCTTTCATCCTGAGATCTTCTTTCTCATTAATTTATTCATTCAACAATTTTTATTGAGTGCTTAGCACTGTGCTGAATGGTGGAGAAAGGATGGTAAACAAAACAGTCGTGATCCCAACCTAATTACAGACATCTAGTAATTATACAAATGCACAAATAAATAACAGGTTTTGATAAATGTATTTATATAGGGCCAGGAGAAAACATATCAGGGGGTTCCAATCTTTGGGTTGGGAGATAGGCATTCCCAGTTGAGCTAGAAGAGGAAGCTAAGTAAACTAAGGGTAGGCGTGCCCATTGTCACACAGTGAGTCAGGGCAATGCTGGGACCAAAACTGGCACTCCTGATCCCTGAGTAAAGGACTTGGTTCAGGCTGGTATTTACCAGGATACATTTTCCCACTCCTTTCCTTGCTACCTCCTAATTTCAGGGCTACTCCTTCTGGAAAAAAGTTTTGATCTGTCCCTTTGACTATAAGGCTCCCTATTGTCACCTCACACCTCCTCTAGGTTGGGTACAGTCTAGTCAGATTGGCAGGGGCTGGTGGTCAGGGCCAGATAACCAGAAAGTTGTGGCGGGGGAAAGAATTTGGGGCTGTTAGACTGGGAGTAGCTACAGAAGGGCCAGGCTAGAGAAGCAGGAGAAGCAGGATCTGCCAGGCTGGTAAAGGATAAGACTCAAGTGCAGGCACTGGGAGGAAGAGAGAGTGAAGTAAAAGGATGCTCTAATGCCAGGAAGTGACGTTGAGGGAAAGAGGGATGGGGGATGGAGGATGAAGAATGGAGGGGAAGATAGAGATGGGCCACATGGATAGCAGAGAGAGCACTAGGGAAAAAATGCTCAGAGAGCTTTTGGCTCTCAGGTCTCCTGCAAGCCCTGTCTCCTCCCTCCCTACTCCCAACCCTGCAGTCCCTGCAGAGGGCTGAAAAGAACACAGTAAAATTCTGGAGCCTGCTTCCTGGGTACCATACTAACATCCCGGCCTGATCCGTGGCTCTGGTAGGGGTGAGGTAATCCACAGGGCAGCAAAGGCACTCTGGTCCCCAAGGACTTTGAGAGGTCATTCATTCCATCCCCCTGTATCCCAATACCCAGCACAGACAGACAGACAGATTTATATTCTCTTTACCCCTCCCAGGACACGAAGAGACTCTCGGCTTCTCCCCAAGATCTCTCCTTCCCACAATCCCTGACTGTGGGGAAGTTCTTCTCAAGACCTAGCCTCTGTCCATCCTACTGCAATCTCTGATGGTTTCTCCTATCCTGTTCTCCATGACTAGAGAAAAGCCTCTTCTGGATGATCACAGCTGTTCCTCGGGATCTCCTCTCCAACATTCCTTCCTCATTAGTTGCTTCTCCCCAAAAGGTAACCCCCATCCCTCCTACTGCAGTCCCTGGCATCATTCTCCCTTGTCGCATCCTAGGACTCCAAGGCAGAAATGCATTTCCAACACTATCACATAATTCACAGAAACAAGGGAGAAGAGAAAGGTCCAGGGGGTAGGGAATGAATTAGGGGGACGGAGGCTGGAGGTGATGTTCCCCGCAGATGGAGGACCAGGGGCTTCCCAGGGGGCAGGGACGGTGCCAGCGGGCCTCACCTGTATCGGGGTCTCCCAAGAAGGCATCCTCGTCCTTGCGGCCCCTTAGAGGGGCCGCGGGCGCCGGCTCGTCCTCCGGCAGCCGCGGGAAGCTGGTGATGCTCATGTAGTCCACGGGCGAGTAGGCGCCCAGGGCGCTCTCCTGACTGACCTGGTTCTCCGCCGCCATCCTAGCCGGCGCCCCCCCAGCAGCGCAGCGCCTGCCGGAAGTGGTGCGCCGGGGGCCGGGAGTGGGTGGCTGGGCGGGGCCTGAGCTCCCCAGCAGCCGGGAGCGGGCGCCTCACCCCCACTCTGGCGCGTGCCTGGGTCTGAGCGCTCTCGCCGGCTTGGCGCTGTCAGCCTGCAGTGGGCGCGCCGGTGGGGACAGGGTAATGCATACAGAGGCCGGAGGGCAAGCCCGGGTCACGAAGTGGGGGTCGGGAGAAGAGCACGCTGCAAGCGCGACCTTAGTGATTCAGGACACCTTATGCTGCTCAGGGACCAAATCCCTTCTTCCAGTTTGAGCTAGAATCCTCCTCAGACCGCAGATTCCCCGCTCGGCTCAGAGTCTTCCACCGACCACAAACCTCTCCTCTACCACAGATCTTCCTCTGATCCCCAAATCCTCAGTCCCCAGACTCCTTCTTGGATTCCAAGATCCTTTCCTCCTATCTCAGACCCCTCCTTTCACCCCAGATTCCTCTTTCACGCTGTCAGAGGAATCTGACAGCGCCAAGCAGGCGAGAGCGCCTCAGACCCAGACACACGCTAGAGTGGGGGTGAGGCGCCCGCTCCTGGCTGCTGGGGAGCTCAGGCCCCGAGCAGCCACCCACTCCCGGCCCCCGGCGCACCACTTCCGGCACCACTCTGTCTTCACCCTCCCCGCTATCCCTGCCCCAGCACCTGTTTCATCCTCAGGCTGCTTCTTCACTTGGAGATCCCTCCTTCCACGTCTCTTCTCAGACGTCAGATCCCTCCCTGGACCCCCGACGCTTCTCAGACTCCTCTTTCAAGCCCAAATCCCGTCTGGGACCCCTGACCTAAACCTGAATGTATGTTAGAATCCTTAAGAGCAGATCCCCAGATTTCACTCTAGAGATCATGATTTAGTACTCTGGGATGGGGTCTCTGGAACCTGAATATTTACCATCATTTTAAGAGTTTTTGATGTGGTGTTCTGGAAAGAACAATTTAAGAAAGAAACAATAGTCATTTTGGTATGGCAGAAGTGAGATAGGGTGGGGGAAGTAGGAAGTGGGTCTCTGTAGTTTAGGTGTCTGTGTTCTGTTTCCTGTGCTTACTGTGTTCTTTTGGATAAGACACCTAATCTTCTTTATATGAGCTTCCTCCTCATCTGAAAACTTGAGAGAATAATAGTATCCATCTCAGGTGGTTGTTGTGAGGATTAAATAACACACAGAAAGCTCTTAGTATAGGTCTTACTCAATACATGCAATTATTATCATTATTTTCATGTCCTTAATCTTGTGGATTCTCATCTCATCCAACCCTATCCATCCTCTTCCCACTTTTAAGAATTCCAACTACACTATAGCTTGCACTACTTTCCCTTTCCAAGGAGGCCTCCTGTCCAAACTTTCTTCTTACACTTCACAGGCAGAGGGAGGGGGTTGGTGGAGCCTCTGGGCATACATCCCCTCTTCCAACCCCAGGACAGTTTGAAAAATCTAAATAAAAACAAAAATCTATTCTGGGCCCAGGGCATGCAGTGCCACCTGTAGACAGGAGGGGACAGCAGTGTGTTGGAGACAGCTCTGGGATTTGGGAGGTTTGGAGGGAGAGAGGGGAAAGGAAGAGGGCTGCCCAGAACTGTGTCTACGGTGGGAAGATGACTGTCTGTACATGGGACTTTGTGCCCATTGCTTATGCCTTCCTCTCCACAGAGAAGCTAGTATCTTTTTTCTTTATTGATTTTGGAGAGAGGAAGGGAGAGGGCAAGAGATAGAAACATCGATGAGGAAGAACATCGATTGGTTGTCTCCTGCATGACCCCTACTGGGTGTTTGGACCACAACCTGGACATGTGCCCTGACCAGGAATCAAACTAGCAACCTCTTGATGCATGGGTCAATGCTCAACTGAGCCACACCAGCCGGGTGAGAAGCTGGTATCTTCTCAGTGAGGTCCATAGGGCTTATTATGCTTCAGTGAAATATGATCCCTCCAGTAGGACCTATCCCGACTAAATGAGGTCTGTGCCCTCTCATTGATGTCCATTCCCTCAGTGGGGTTTGAGTCCTTTCAGTGGGGTCAATATATATTTAGTAAACTCTGTATCTTCTATATCTCCTAGAGGGAAGTCCATGTCCACCCCAGTAGGGTTTGTGACTTTCAATGCTATTCCTGTTTTATTAGCAGGGTCCACAGCCTTCAGTGAGATCTGAGACCCTTTAGCAAGATCTCTGCTCCCTTAGTGGAGTCCATGTACCTTCAGTGCAGTGTGTGCCCGTTCAGTGTAGTTAATATCTCTAGGATGAAGTATCTGTCTCCTCTGTGAGGTTAATGTTCACTCCATGAGATCTGACCCCCCCCCCCCCCCAGGCTCTGGATCATAGATTTGAACATGGAATTTTTTTTTTTTTTTCTCCAGTATAAGATGTACTGGGCTTGTGGTTAGCTGGGCAAAGGACAAAGGTACAGGTGGGAAGGGAGGCTGGGCCTGATGTGGTCACAAACCCTGTGTAGGCTTCAGGAGATGGAGACTGCTCTGGGTCTCACAATCACTCTTGTTAAATATTTAAGGTTCCTTCCTATCTTGAGAGCCATTTTATGAACTGATGGTTGAGGTGGGCCTTTCTTGGTAGTGAGTGCAAGTGGGAGATGGGGGGTCCTGCCTGGCCCCTCCTTGCTGGAGTGGAACTGATAGAGGGAAGCCGGAGGTAGTTGAGCTCAAGTGTGGCATGTGGGAATGGTCTCTTGGTAAAGTAAAGAGACTGGGAAGGAAAGAAGGATATGAGTGATTCTTCCTATTTGCATAGACTTCCGTACAGTATTTCACAAGTATTTCACAAGCCGTAGCTTCAGCCTGATGAGGGAGTAAAAAGACTTGGAGTCAGGAGACTTAGGTTTGGACCTGTCTTGGTGGTTGTTTGCTCTGTGACTTTGCACAAATTCCCTCCTTTTCCTGAATATACCGTTTGTGCAATGAGGAAGTGGGTTTATTAGCAAAGACCTGAACACACCTCCTACTCTTCAATGAATCTTGTACTTTAGAGCTGGATGGAAATCTGTGGAGGCAGGAAGAGTGAAGACATATATATCCTCGGGGTGGGAGAAAGTCTGAGGTTACAAACGTTAACAGAGAGGGGTCCTGCCCCCAGGCCATGCCCTAAACGTCGTGCGAGGAATTTTCCCCTGAGAACAAAGGGGAGGAGTTTACTCTGAATGGAGGGATAGTTCTTTGAGGGAGTGTTCCCAGAAGGCACCCAGAAAGAACCCTACTCCATCTGGCTTTCAACTCTGTGGTGTGACAGGCTTGTGTAACCAGACCATCGTGGACTTGACTCAACTCCTCTTGTTAGCCACGCTCTTTCCCGCTCCATCCCCGCCTTAACCCAACCTCTCTACTGTCATTCCAAAACCCCACCCGACGCTCGTCACCCCATGGGCCCGCCTTCTCTCCTGTCACGCCAGGCCCCGCTCCTTCTGCTTTTATTCCACGGTCCCACCCCTTCCGCGAATCGGCTCCTCCTCCCCTAGTACTTAAGCCTTGCTCGCTTTTTCCCTATTCGTGCCTTTGCTAACCCTGGCATGACTCCGCCCCTCCGGACAGACCACGCCGGATCTGCCTAAGCCCCGCCCCACCGCCCAGGCCCCTCCCTTTTCTTAGGCCCCGCCCTGGGCGGCCTGTTTTTCGCCCCGGAGCTCCCCGGGCGATCGTGAAGGCTGTTCCAGTCTTCAGAGCTCGGAACTTGAGGCGATGGGGCTTCCTGAGGAGCGGGGTCGAAGCGGCAATGGGTGTGGGGGCCGGGAGGAGGCTGGAGCGCGGAGCCGGGCGCGGAGCTGGTCGCCGCCGCCCGAACTCAGCCGTTCCGCGCATGTTTCCTCACTGCAGCGCTACCGCGAGCTGCACCGACGCTCGGTGGAGGAGCCGCGAGGTGAGGCCGGACCCGGGCGCGCCTGGGGACGTCAGTGAGGAGAGGAGTGGGGCTCCCAGGGCGCGTTCCGAGGGGAAGTGGGGGTTCCGTGAGGATTTCCTGGGGGAGTGAAGGCTCCCTTGGGAAGTTGAGGGGTCGGTGAGGAGATGGAGGCTCTGCGAGAGAAGAGTTGCGGAGGAGATGGACAAGGGGTTCGGGAGGAGATGGGGGTTCCATGAGGAGGGTTCTGCGAGGAGATGAGGGTTCCCTAGGAGTTGGGGAATTCCCTGGTGACTTGGAGGTTTCTTGAGGAGACGCGGTTTCCGTGAGGGAATGGGGGCTCTGAGAGGAAAGTGAAAGTTTCCTGAGGAGAAGAGGACTCCTGGGGTGAGCAGCACGGCTCCCAGGGGCGGGCGAGGAGGCACCTTGAGGAGAACGTTCCTTGCCCGGCTCACACCGGCTCAGCCATTTGCCTCCCGACACCGTTAACAAGTTAGTCTGCCCTGTTGAGGGGCAGGAACGGTCCCGGTTCCCCTCCTGGGGTTCCCACAATTAGTGAGCAAGCCCCCGTTCTATTTTTAATATTTCAGAAATATTCAAAGTACCCAATTTAAGACGGAAAAAGTCACATTTCAATTAAGAGTGTGTGTGTGTGTGTGTGTGTGTGTGTAGTGGGCTGGGTGGTAATAACTCGGAAATTGTGATAGTTCCACGGCGTTGGGAAAGCGAGGGACGCTCCCTGCCCCGGCCCTCGGCTGGGTGAGGAATCGGCTGTTGGCATGGCACAAGCACCCGGAGTATCCAGGTTCAGATCCTGGTTCACCCCTCGCTCACTGGCTGGCCTTTGGCAGTGTTGAAACCCGAGAGTTCTTTCCTTTATCTGTCGGGTAGGGGTACTAATACCTGTCTCATGGTTTTGCATGATGACAGAGCAGGTGCTAAGTAAAGGGTGCACCCTGGCGCGTCTGGGACATTCAGTGAATGATGGTGGGTTTGAGAGCAATCAGAACAACCTGGATGGAACAATTCTGACTAACGCAGGACAGAACTGAGTCAAGTGTAGAGTCATTGACTGCCGCAGGCAGTGTCCAGGTTTGAGTGCCCCTTTCGCTTCTCTTCCTCTCTCTGTTTTCTCCCATCGTGAATTCGTTTGTGTCCCAGGGGTGAGCTGTGACTGCCACAATAATAATAACTCTTATTCTACACATTTAGCACTGTACCCAGGACCTCACTTATGCTCTGGCTCCCAATTTCATAGATCTGTAGACCATGTTATGCGTACACCTTTGTTATACCATATTTAACGTGACTTGGCTGAGATGACCAATTTTCCCTCCCAAACCCGCTCTCCTACCTAATTTTCTAATCTCTGTCAGTGTCTCTATTCCAAACTAAATTCCTCATCAACCTCTCCTCTAATAAGATATATCTATATATCTTTTTTATTTACAGCTTTCTTACTGCTTACTAACCACAAATCCCATTTGACTTGATGCAGAGACTGATATCATCCACGTTTTACAGAGAAGGAAAGTGAAGCTTAGAAAGGTTAACTAACTTGGACAAGGCAACGAAGCTACTTAGTGGTAGAGCTGGGATTTGAACCAAGGTAGTTTTTTTTTTTTTACTGAATTTATTGGGGTGACCATGGTTAATAAAATTATGTAGGTTTAAGGTGTACAATTCTACAATACATTATCTGTATATTGTAGAGTGTGTATACCACCCCAAGTCAAGTCTCCTTCTATCACTATTTATCCCTCCCTTATCCTTTTCTACCTCTCCCACCCCCCTTTCTTCTGGTAATCACCATATTGTTGTCTGTTTATAAGTTTTGTATTTTTGTTGCTTAATCCCTTTACCTTTTCACCCAGTCCAGCAACCTCCCACCCTCTGACAGCTGTCAGTCTGTTCTCTATATCTATGAGTGTTACTATTTTGTTTGTTTGTTTTGTTCATTAGATTCCCATGTAAGTGAAATGTATGGTATTTGTCTTTTTCTGGCTGGCTTATTTCACTTAGCATAATACTCTGCAGGTTCATCCAATGCTATTGCAAAAGGTAATATTCCCTTCTTTTTAACAGCCGAATAGTATTCCATTGTGTAAATATACCACAGCTTTTTTATCCACTCATCTACTGATGGGTGCTTTTGTTGTTTCTAAATATTGGCTATACTAAACAATGCCACAGCGAACACAGGCATGCATATATTCTTTTGAATTAGCGTTTTGGATTTCTTTGGATATATCCCCAGAAGTAGAATTGCTGGGTTATAAGGCAGTTCCATTTTTAATTTTTTGAGGTAACTTCATACTGCTTTCCACAGTGGCTACACCAATCTGTATTCCCACCAACAGTGCATGACGGTTCGCTTTTCTCCATATCCTCACCAACATTTGTTGTTTGTTTACTTATTGATGATAGCCATCTGACAGGTGTGAAGTGATATCTCACTGTGGATTTTTTTTAATAGAATTTTTTTAGAGATAAACATCAATATGAGAGAGAAACATTGATCAGTTGCCTCCCTCACACACCCTGACCAGGGATCAAACCTGCAACGCAGGTCTGTGCCCTGACTAGGAATCAAACCTGCCACCTTCTGGTGTATGTGACAGTGTTCCAACCAACTGAGCCACACCAGCCAGGGTTCATTGTGGTTTTAATTTGCATTTCTCTGATGATTAGTGACATTGAGCATCTTTTCATATATCTATTGGCCATCTGTATGTCCTCTTTGGAGAAGTATCTATTCCAGTCCTTTGGCCATTTTCAAATTGGATTGTTTGTTTTTTTGGTGTTGAGTTGTATAAGTTCTTTATAAATTTTTTATATTAAATCCTTATTAGATGTATCATTGGAGAATATGTTCTCCCATGCGATGGGTTGTCTTCATTTTGTTGATTGTTCCCTTTGCTGTGCAAAACCTTTTTGGTTTGATGTAGTTCCACTTATTTTTCTTTTGTTTCCTTGCCTGAGGAGATATATTGCTACGTGCCCAGCTGGTATGGCTTAGTGGTTGAGCGTCAACCTAGAGGTTGCACCAAGAGGTTGCTGGTTTGGTTCCCAGTCAGGGCACATGTCCAGGTAGTGGGCCAAATCCCCAGTGGGGGGCATGCAGGAGGCAGCCAGTCGATGTTCTCTCTCATCAATGTTTCTCTCTCTCTCTTTCTAAAATCAATAAAGAAAAAAATTGCTACATGAAATGTCCAAGATTTTACCATCTGTGTTTTCTTTTCTTTTTTTCAAATTAATTTTTAGAGAGAGAAGAAGGGAAAGGGAGATAGAGATAGGAACATCAATGAGAGAGAACATTGATTGGTCGCCTCCTGCATGTCCCCCACTGGGGATTTGGCCCACTACCTGGGCATGTGCCCTGACCGGGAATTGAACTGGCGACCTCTTGGTGCATGGGTCAATACTCAACCACTGAGCCACACTGCCCGGGCTGTGTATGTTTTCTTCTAGAATTTTTATGGTTTTGAGTCTAACATTTAAATCTTTAATCCATTTTGAATTTATTCTTGTGTATGATGTGAGATGGTGGCCTAGTTTCATTTTTATGCACGTATCTGTTCAATTTTCCTAACACCATTTATTGAATAGACTATTTTTACCTCATTATATGTTCTTGTCTCCTTTGTCAAATATTAATAGATGTGGGTTTATTTCTGGGCTCTCTATTTTGTTCTACTGATCTATATGTCTGTTTGTTTGTTTTTTAAGTTTTTAAAAAAATGTTTTATTGATTTTATAGAGAGGAAGAAAGAGGGAGAAAGAGATAGAAACATCAATGAGAGAGAACCATCGATTGGCTGCCTCCTGCATGACCCGCATTGGGGATCAAGCCTGCAACCTGGGCATATACCCTGACCAGGAATCAAACTGGCAACCTTTTGGTACATAGGAAGATGCTCAAGCAAGTGAACCCCACTGGTCGGGTTCTATATATCTGTTTTTATGCTAGTACCAGGCTGTTTTCATTACTATGGCCTTGTAATTAAGTTTGATATCAGATAGCATGATTTCTCCAACTTTGTTTTTCTTTCTCAAGATTATTGTGGCTATTTGGAGATATTTTGTGGTTCCATATAAATTTTTGGAATATTTGTTCTAATTCTGTGAAATACATCATTGGTATCTCTCTCTCTTTTTTTTTTTATCCTCACCCGAGGACATTTTTCCATTTTTTGTTCAGGTAGAGTAGGAGGGGGAGAGAGAGAGAGAGAAACATCGATGTGAAAGGGACACATTGAGTGGTTGCCATCCGCATGACCCGACCAGGGCCTGGGACAAACTGCAACCGAGGTATGTGCCCTTAGCAGGAACCGAACCTGGGTCTCTCTGGACCGCAGGCCAATGCTCTAACTGCTGAGCCAAACCAGCCAGGGCACCACCATTGGTATCTTGATAGGAGTTGCATTGACTCTATAGTTTGCTTTGGGTAGTGTGGACAATTTTGTGATGTTACTTCTTCACAGTATATGGTTCCACTTATTTGTACCTTCTTCGGTTTCTATTTCTTTTCTTTTTTTTTTTTTTTTTTTTATCCTCACCCCAAGGACATTTTTCCATTTTTTGTTCAGATAGAGCGGGAGGGAGAGAGAGGAAGAGAGAGAGAGAGAAACATCGATGTGAAGGGACACATCGAGTGGCTGCCACCCTCACGACCAACCAGGGCCGGGGACAAACTGCAACCGAGGTACGTGCCCTTAGCGGGAACCGAACCCGGGTCTCTCTGTACCACAGGCCAACGCTCCAACCGCTGAGCCAAACTGGCCAGGGCTCTTTTTTTTTTTTTTTAATCCTCACATGAGGATACTTTTCTATTTATCTGTAGATAGAGTGAGAGAGAGAGAAACATCGATGTGAGAGGAACACATCGACTGGTTGCCTCCTGCATAACCTCGATCAGGGATGGGGATGAACCTCAACCAAAGTACGTGCCTTTGACTGGAATGGAACCCATGACTCATTGGTCTGCGGGCCAACACTCTAACCGCTGAGTCGAACCAGCCAGGGCTATCTTCTTCAATTTCTTTATTCAGTGTCTTATAATTTTCTGAGTACAGGTCTTTTACATCCTTGTGAACCAAGGTACTCTTGACTGAAAAACCTATTCACCAAAGTCTATCAAATACTATTTCACAATGTCTCTCAGATTACCTTTATTTTTATTCCCACAGACCCTTTTAGCTCAAGGAAGCAGCTTCCTAGTTCGTTCTCTTTTCCCTAGTCTCATCCACCTTCAATCTCTGATATATTTATCTAGACACTATTAGATCAATATTCTGGAAACACTGCATTCTTATGTCACTTTAAAAACTTTCAACAGTTTCCTATTTCCTACAGTTTTAAATTAAAATTCTGCCTGTCTTTCAAGGTCTCTGGATAACTAACCCTACTTTATCTCTCTATCCTTTTCTCCCACTACTCCCTACCACACTGCTTATTCTAGACAGGTTGTTCTCATTGATATACTGAATACACAAAGGTCCCCTTTCTACCTCCTTGCTTTTGCCCTTTTCCTTCTGCTCCTCTAGTCAAACCCCACCAATTCCACAAGACATTCCCTGATCATCCAAATCTATGCTCATTTTTTCTTCTTCTGAACTTCTTCAGTACTTAAAATGTTTATCAATGAAACATCCAAATTTCCACCTCCACAAAGAAAAGCCTCCAAATGACTGAAAAACAAAACTAAGTGATTATAAAACTCAGTTTTATTTACTCCTTGTTGATGAACACAAATGTGGTTCATAAATAGTTTTATATACTCTATGTCTACTATTATCACTTAAAAATATTTTTGAGTCTACAAACATACTTACTCAATGTAGTTGTAACAAATGAACTTTAGAGTCCGATCTGATTTTGCATTCTGGTTTCTAGCTGTGTGGTCCTTGGGGAGAGTGTTCTATGTTTCCTGAGCTTAAATGTCCTTATCTATAAAATTAGGATAATTAATGATTATTTCATAGGGCCATATAAAGATTAAATGAGATTAGCTCAGTCCTTGGTACATGAATGGCATTCACTAAAATGCCAGTTCTTGCCAGGCCAGACTTGAGTTTAAAAAAAAATAAAATAAAATACCAATTCTCATTCACTTTCTCTTTAATGGCCATTTAGTAGTCTATTGCATTACTACTAGTATTTCTGGTTTTCACCAGTTTTTTTTTTTTTTTTTTTTTTTCATTGTTGGGCTTTTGAGTTGTTTCCAGTTTCACTAGAATAAATAGTGGTCTATCAGCATGTTTTTAATAAACAATTTCTTTTCCTTTGGGATTATTTTCTTGGAGTGTGTTCCCCAAAGTTGAATTAACAGATGAAAGGGTATACAAATTTTTACGGCTTTTGTCAGACACTGCCCTGCCATCCACTTAAAATTGTGCTCATTTCTTACAATTCCGTTATCATATAAGATTATCTGTTTCCTAAGGCCACTCAGGCATTAAATTTATTTTTTATAATCTTTGTTAGTTTTTATATGTATATAATGGCACTTTAGAATGATTTAATTTGGATTTCTTTAATTGATTGCAAATGCTACACCATTTGCTTTCAATTATGTCTTTTACATTCAAAACCAACTATGTACATTTTATAAACTGAATCATATAACCTTGAGCAAGTCACTTTACATCTATGGATTTGGTTTCTTATCACTAAAATGAGGGGGTGATAATTTCTAAAATCCCTTCCATTGTTGTGATTCTAAGTCTTTCTCCCCTCTAACTCCTGATTCCATACTGAGAATATCCTAAGTGCTCTGCAATTGCATATTTTACCTGTTGATTGCATTTTCTCCAGAGGTTTAGGCAAATATTTTAAAATTGTAAATCTTATCATGTCTCCTGCTTAAAATCCTACAATGACTTTCCATTGCTGGTAGGATGAATACCAAGTTTCTTATCATGTCCAGAAAGATTGCATGATCTGCTCAGTTTATGCATCAATTCCTGCTATTCTTTCTCTTATTCTCAGTGCTTCAGCCTTAAAGAGTTTCTTTTAACACATGCCCTTTTTCCTTCCCATCCCATAGTACTCTCTTTCCTGGTGGGAGAGTAAAGAAAAACTTCTATTCATCTTTCAGATTTTAAGAAGAATATCTTCCTTAGGGAAGTTCAAGTTGTGGCTTAGTAACTATAACCTTGGGCAAATTACTTAACCTTTCTGAGCCTTGATTTTTAAATCAATAAAATGAGAATGAAAACAGGGTCTAGCTCCTTATGGTAAGGACTAAATGAAATAATACGGATAAGGAGCTTAAAGCAACATCAGGCACAGAGCAGGTAACACTTGGGCATATAGTAGTAGAATAAAGAGTTGCTCACTAAATAATTGCTGAGAGTGAATGAACAAATTAAGAGAAAGACATGGTCATGGAAGGCTCTGTGGATAAAGGACTTCTTCCTTTCATTAATTAACTCATTTAAAAATTGCCTACCCTGTGCTAGGTGTTGTGATAGGCCCTGGGTGGCTGCAATTTGAATAGATGGTAAAAAAGAAAAAAAAAAAAAATGGAGTGGGAATTTTGAGGAGAGAAGGAAGAAATTTCAGTCAAGATTCAGCTAATGGAATAGAAGATGGGTGAGGAGAGTGGTGGGTGATAAGATTAGACAGGTGGAGGAGGGAACCCAGGTGGTGGGTCCTAGAGTATAAGGCAAGGAAGTTGTGACTTGGTCCTGTACATAGACTGGTAAGATATTTGAGGATACATGTCTGAAAAGCTTAGTGATGTTGGGCTTCCCTTTTCATTGCAGAGTTTTGGGGAGACATTGCCAAAGAATTTTATTGGAAGACCCCATGTCCTGGCCCATTTCTCAAGTACAACTTTGATGTGACTAAAGGGAAAATATTCATTGAGTGGATGAAAGGAGCAACTACCAACATCTGCTACAACGTACTGGATCGAATTGTTCATGAGAAAAAACTTGGCGATAAAATTGCTTTCTACTGGTAAAAACATCTATCTAATAGTCTGTGGTAGATAAAAGTCATCCTTCACATTATATAGTGTTTCATAGTTCATGAAGTATCTTAAAATCCATGAATTCATTATAATAACCTGGTAGAGTAAGCAAACTATAGTTAATTTAATGTCTCAGGTGAGAAAAAAATACCTCAAGGAAGTGAAACGACTTCTCTAAAATAGTATAAATAGCATGTGACAGAACATATATTCAAAACCAAGTGTTCTGACTTCTGGTCTGGTGTTCTTGGCTTATAGTTGGAGAGGAAAGAGGGGAGAGGGTAAATAGAAGAGAAGAGGACTGAGCAGCTTTCTTTCTCATTCTTGCTTTGGGAGAAGAGTTGGTATTGGATTTTTCACTACCACCACCAGTATGCTCAAGTACTTTCTGTTGTTGTTAATCCTCACCCAATGATATTTTCCCACTGATCCCCTAAATAGAGTGGAAGGGAGGGAGAGAGAGAGAGAAATATCAATAAGAGAGACACACATTGATCAGTCACCTCCCACATGACCCCAACTGGGACTGGGAATCGAACTTGCAACCCAGGTATGTGCCCTTGACTGGAATTGAACCCATTACCCTTTGGTCCGCAGGTCAGTGCTCCAACCACTGAGCCAAACCAGCCAGGGCTATGTTTGTGTTCTTTTTTTTTTTAGAAAGAGAGGAAGGGAGAGAGAGAGAGAAACATTATTATGAGAGAGATACTTCAATCGGCTGCCTCCTATAAGCCCCTGCTGGGTATCGAGCTGGCAAACCAGGAATATGCGCTGACTGGGAATGAAATGGGGACCTCTCAGTCTGTGGGATGACGCTCCATCCACTGAGCCACACTGGCCAGGCTATGTTCAAGTTCTTAACAAATATTATTTCATTTGATGCACTATTATTTTCCTTATTTTACATATGTGAAAACTGAAATTCTGAGACATTAGTGACTTACCCAAAGCCATACAGCTAGCAAGAAGCGGGGCTGAGATTCAAACCCAGGTAGTATAATTCCAGAGCTTACACTCTTGACCATGACATTATGCTATCCCTCTAATACCTTATATTAGTCTCTCAACAGCTTTGCAAAATAGGTATTCTTAGTTCCATTTTACAGATGAAGAACTGAAGCATAGAAGAGTTACACATTGAATAAGGTCATAGAGTAAGTGGTAGAGCCAGGATTAAAAACCAAGTCTGTCTTACTCCTTGCTTGTAAAATTAGCCCATGCTGCCTCTCCAGCAGGAATTTTCTAAGAGCTCCTCTTCCTGGCAACATAGCTCTCTACAAGATGTGTTAATATACTGAACTCAAATAGTACCTTCAAGTTCCAGTAGTTGGGGTGTTGCTTCTGCTACTACTTGTGAGCACTCTGAGAATGTATCCTAATTTTAAGTGAGCTAGTTGAAGCAGATTGGATGTTACATGGAAGAACTAAATTGGTACTCAGTCAAAATTTGCCCAGTTTATATGATACAGTGAGAAAAGCCCTAATCTGAGAGACAGCAAATTTAGATTCTCATTCTAACTATGCCATTCACCTGCTGTGTAACTACAGGCAACTCTCTGACAGTCAGTTAGTTTCCTCTTCCATAAAATGGGGAAAATAATTCCACCCCTGTCTTTCTGCTTAGATTGTTATGAGAACCAAATAAGATGATGTGAAAACACTTATTTATTTATTGAAAAACCCTGTATAAATGTGAGTGGGTGTACTATAATCACATTGCCATTGCTCAATTTGGGGTCACTGGGCCACTGAAACTCATGGTCTATGTCTGTTTAGATTTTCTTTAGTTCTTGCTGAGACTTGAGCCCACCTTTTATGTTCTTTAAGGATCAGAAAACCTTTAAAGATCTGCACAGGAGATGCTTATATCTGAATTTTACCCCCTGGTTTGAAATAATTCAGGTGCATGGTGAAAGACGGAGAAAACAGACCAGAGCTGTTTAATCACTGGAGATTGCTCCAGAATCCTGAGGCCTTTCTTTCTAGTTTCTTACCATCCATACCTGAACAGGGTCTCTTTCCGTAGTTGTAAAATGAGGAGAGTAGATTAGATCAGTGTTTTCCAAAGAATGCTCCAGAAACCACTAATTAATAGAGATATTAGCACGGGCTTCTTAATTTATGAAACAAATGAGTCTGAGAAACACTACATAAATAATTGCCTTTCATGGGATTCCCAATGTATATTAACATAGTAAAGTCTCCACGAATTCCTACAGTAAACACATCTGATTAATTTTGTTTAACGTGAGATTTCCAAATTTATTTGAGCCCCAAACATTTTTTTGCAGTATGCTATTAATATCATAAGAAGAACTTGGCCGGTGTGACTCAGTGGTTGAGCGTCAACCCATGCACCAAAAGGTTGCCGGTTCGATTCCTGGTCAGGGTACATGCCCAGGTTATGGGCCAAATCTCCAGTGGGGAGCATGTAGGAGGTGGCCAATAGATGTTCTCATCGATGTTTCTATCTCTCTCTCCTCCTCATTTCCTCTCTCTCTAAAATCAATAAAGAAAAACAATATCATAAGAAGAAATAGTCCATGGAATATCAATTTGGGAAGTACTGGATTAGATAATCTCTAAATTTACTTTCAGTGCAAAATTTTGCAACTCCATAACAAGACATCATCACTCCATTTTTACAGTGGTCATTCAACCAACAGGAATTGTTGAAGTCATTGGGTACTTAGCCCTCTGTAGGTGTTAGGGATATAGGGGTAGAAGAGTGGGAGACAAGTTCTGTATGGGCCATTATTATTCAATTATTTTATGTTTACAGTAAAGCAAAAGCAAACTACAAATCATATTTGTTAAAAGAAAGTAAAGTACAAATATGTAAGATATGTGGTTACTTCTCTTTGTTACCTCAATATTTTTATATAATATGTTTATATTGCCATGTTGTCATCTTTTTTTTTTTTAGAAAGTATTGATTTCCTATAATGGTAGATGAGAATTTAATTCTTATATATTCTAACTTCTTTAATCTTCCCAATATAATTATAGCTCTGTTTTAAAGTTAATTTAAAATTAATGTTTACATAAGAGTAATGTATGGTTGCATTTCCTTTTATGTACAGATTTTTTGTTTTCTCTGAAGTTAAAAATTGCCTAGCATTTTTCTTGTATAATTCACCTTTATCATATACTTAATATTTTTCAAATTCTCTATTATATCCTTTATAATCTATGAAGACTTCTTTTACCTCCAAAGTCCTTTGCCCTAGAGCCCACCTTCTTCCTGCTCTAGTTTTTTTTTTTTCAATCCTCACTGGAGGATATCTTTTCATTGATTTTAGTGAGTGTGGAAGGGAGGGAGGGAGAGAGAGAGAGAGAGAGAGCGTGCGCGAAACATCGATGTGAGAGAGACACATCAATTGGTTGCCTCCCACATGACCCTGAAACCCAGGGGATTGAACCTGCAACCTAGGTACATGCCCATGACTGGGATTGAACCCATGACCCTTCAGTGCACAGGTTTATGCTGAGTCAAACCAGCCAGGGCCCTGCTCTAGTTTTTATTAATTTTTTTTTAATGACATCTTTTCAGTGATTTGCTCCAGTTGATATACTTCTTATGGAGCCACAGTATAACTTTCTTTTCAACCTGAACTGTGTCATTTAGATAGCTGTAGTGTCATTAGCAAACCACATTTGTAGTTCATTCCTTGTTTTGGGGCATGTCTTATACATATACTGAAATAATCCACAAAGGAAATAGTACTCTTAAGAAACTACTCCAGCCCAGCCAGTGTGGTTCAGTTGTTGAGCGTTTACCCATGCACCAAGAGGTCGCCAGTTCAATTTCTGGTCAGGGCACATGCCTGGGTTGTGGGCCCAATCCCCAGTGGGGGACATGCAGGAGGTGGCCAATCAATGCTCTCTCTCATCGGTGTTTCTATCTTTCTCTCCCTCTCTCTTTAAAATCAATAAAGAAAAATTTTTTTAAAAAGAAAAGAAATTACTCCAATTAGCCAAAATAGAACCATATTAATGAAAAGTTTGGCCTTTTACTTTTGCCTTGACACATTACAAATGTTCATGGAATAACAATATTTTTAGAACTTGAAGCAGTTTAAAGTCCATCTAGGCCAACTGTCCTTATAAATGGGTAGATTAAGGCCACAAAGACTAACTTGCTTAAGGGTCATATATTGCTTAGAGGCAGAGCTGAGATTAATCTGATATTCTCACTCCTAGTCAACTACTCTTTTCACCACATGATACTACTTCCTTATTCTAGTTGTCCAGTACTTGGCTTTGATAATGAAAAGAAAAATTAGTCATATTAGACATAAATTTAATTTAAATTAATTTTCTTTCAAATATCAGATAAAATGTGTTATTAGGTTTAAGTGGTCTAGACCCTGGTCTCCTGGAATTTACTTTCTATTTGAGAAGAATAGGCCTATATAAAACAATGTGAACGCAATTATGGGCCAAACTGCAAAAAGCCACTTACATAAATAGTTCACAGAAGGGAGAAAGCATGTAGGGAGGCAGTATAACAAAAATTAGGAGGATGGATTTTGGTGTCAAACTAACTTAATTTGAGTCCTGTTTCTGCTACCAGCTAACAGTATGATTGTGTACGATTTACTTAACCTCTTCAAATCTCAGTTTTCTCAACTGTAAATGTGGATAGAAAGGTTTTTGTTTTTGTTTTTTAATTCTCACCTGAGGATATTTTTCCATTGATTTTCAGACAGAATGGGAGGGAGTGAGGAAGAGAGAGAGAGAGAAACACCCATGGGAGAGACATATCAATTGGTTGCCTCCTATATGACCCCGACCGGGGATCAAACCACAACAAAGTATATGTCCTTGACCAAAACTGAACCCATGACTCTTTGGTCTGTAGGCTGATGCTCTAATCACTGAGCAAAACTGGCCAGGGCAAAAATAGTTTTTTTTGTTTTTTTTTTAATCTCATGGAGGTATCAATTGAAAAGGGGGAAAAAATCAATGACCTTGAGTATTTAAG